TTTTTTTTTTTAGCATTTTTTATAGGAATATTCAAGGCTCCGTTCAAGTAGATCGAGTCGGAGTGTTTCGGCAAGAGCTTCTTTTGAAGGGGTAAAATACTCCAAAAACTCAAGTGTCAGAGGCTCCAGAAGATACATACGCAATAAGGATCGCGCTATAGTAACAGCGACGCAAAATGAAGACCGTTGGGGCTGGCGCCGGCTCGAGTGTCGTAAAGGACCAATGACTGCTGTTTCCACAGTTAAGCCCTGACACTTTTCGGTAGTCAAAGCGAACGCTGGTACGAGAGGTACCTGGTCAATTGTTATTGAAAAGGAGCGATCTTGTATTGTAACGTTAACTCCAGAATCCTTACGGCGACGGACTGGCGATACACCCGGTGGTACGCACTCATTAATACGCTTGGTAATCAGAGTACGGTCCAGAAACTGCACTAATACCGCTTCGGCTGGCTTGGTGTGGTAATAAATGTCGAAATCGCCGGAACCTTTCCGTTGTACGTTGTCGTTAGAAGACACCCGGAATCCAGTCACGGTACCAATAGTTCCATTTGCTAAGTGCAACGCCCGCGAGACGTAGATGCGGGTTCATCTGAGTATAATGACAGCAAAAATGGTCGCTCCACGCGAACGAAGGCCTTATGTTGTTTCTCGTTTAGCAAAAAACGTTTGGTGATATCCAAGAGCGACGAACAGAATGGCAAAATAGCAGACGTATCAACAGGGACGCTTCCAGGGTCACTTCACGTGTCAGCTCCATTTAATGCACTGGCCAACATTTCAACTTGAGTGGGGAAGATACCATTTGCCTGAAAAACTACTGACAGAGGGGGCGTTTGGTCTCGCGCAATAAAACTTTCTTCAGCAAGAGCAATGCAGTGGTCGATATCCTCAGTGTCAATAGTGCCATAATCAGTAAGGAGAGGAGGGACCACTTGAGAAGCTACCAAGTACGCTGCATCCGGCCCTCGCTCCATTAAATGCGTAAAAGTAGTAGTGGGGGATAAGACAGCGGTATCGTCACTAATAAAATCGTGGTCCAGTGATTCATCAGCGGTGAGACTCCATTCTTCACTATTTGCTTCTCTATCCGAACTCAAATTAGAGTCATCAGACTCATACCCACCAGCAGGACCGTCGTCGGTATACGATTCATAACGCTCCACGTCGTCGTCTGCCCGTTGCTTAGCGAGCTCACGAGAAACGTAATAGTCGTTAGAATAGTCGAGAAATTGTTGCGCTTCTGGAGGCGACAAATTTCTCCACCACGCACAGAACTGCCCGTCCCCAATAGGAAAGTCAGCAACAGAACGAAAAGGTAAAAAAAAAAAAAGAAGCAACAAGTATTTTCGGAGCTCGAGAGTCTGCTGAGCGCTAAGGTTATCAGGGCTTCGTGCATCTAGAAGACGTTTCCCTAGTAAATTAGCGACAGCCGGAACAGAGCGTCTGTGGAGCGTGTGAGTTTTGTGCTGAGAATGATATTCCGAAAATTACGCTCCACGAGAGTTGCTTTCTTTACAGTAAAAGCGAATAAAGACTCGTTCTTCATCTGGTTGGGACGATAAATGTAGTCAAAAACCAAACTGGAAGCGGCAAATTTCGACTTAATCCCGATCCAACTTGTGTAAGCGTGATATTTACAGCTGCTCCGTTGAAAATAGCCTCCATGAATGATACCACATGTGTGGTGTGTTAAACAACAGCAATTGGGAGCTGGAACTCCCGGCCAAGACCAACGTGTATTGTTGATCAGAAGGTAAGTTTAAAAGTGAGCTATCTACTCTGGCCAGCTTCCTCCTGCCATCTATGAGAGTCCAGGTGAAGCTGTCCCCGTTCATTGTTCTCATG